AAGCACAGCAAACGGAGAGAAAACCTGTTAGTGATTTATATTTTCGTGACAGCATCTATAAAAAGTATAAATAGATGGAAGGGGGCTCCGTCCCTTGTGGAAATTGTACAGTTTCATGAATTTTAAATGCATAAGCACCTGGTAGCACTTACTTTCTACTGTGTTTACATGGAAAAGGGCTTTGACATTAAGAATACATGATTTTTTTCTTACCATGTAAACAGGCAATGTGAGTATGATGCAGGAAAAGTCACCAGGATGTAAAGGGCAGTAAAAGAAGGGAGGCTACACTACTTGGCCAAACGTTTGTGGAGACCTGACTATGGCACCTATAGGAGCTTGTATGACATCACCTTCCAACACTATAGACCTTAATATTGCTTTGCCCCCCTCTTTGCATCTAAAAGAGTCTCCACTCTTCTGGGAAGGCTTTCTGCAAGATTTTGGAGTGGGTCTGGAGAAATGTGTTCTCATTTACAAGAGCATTTGTGTGAGATCAGGTACTGATGTAGGATGAGTAGACCTGGCTCGTAATGCACTCACCGGCTACTTTATTAGGTACACCTGTTCAATTGCTTGGTAACCTAAATTGCCAGTCAGTCGATCACATGACAGCAACTGAATGCATTTAGACGTGGAGGAGATGACTTGCTGAAGTTCAAACCAAGCATCAGAATGTGGAAGAAAGGGGATTTAAGTGACTTTGAACTTTGCATTGCTGTTGGTACCAGACGGGCTGGTCTGAGTATTTCAAAAACTGGTGATCTGTTGATTTTCACGCACAAACCTCTCTAGGGTTTACAGAGAATGGTCCAAAAAAGAGAAAATATCCAGTGAGGCGCTGTTGTGTGGACGAAAATGCCTTGTTGATGTCAGAGGAGAATGGGCAGACTGGTTTGAGATGATAGAAATGCAACAGTAACGTAAACGCAGAATGTCAATATGGACCAAAATCTCTGAGGAATGTTTCCAACACTTTGATGAATTTATGCCAGTGTTTCTCAACATTTTTTTAGTCAAAGCACCCTTTCAAATTATGGAAAGTCCCGAGGCACCCTTTAAAATTATGGCCAAGTCTTGAGGCAGCCCATTCTAAAATGGGGTGCCTCTAGACTGTCCATAATTTTAAAAGGGCACCCCATTCCGAAATGGGAAAAAACTATTCTAATAGTTTTATATAATGCAGCAACATCCACACATGGAGGACACCCAACATTAGAGGTGACTTATTCTTCCAGAGCAAATACACTTTTGCATGTTGGTACTGACTAGTATTCCAGTGTTTCTCTTCTCCATTGGTTTTTTTTTCCATCACTGAGGTAATGTGACCCCAGCACTGATGGAGAGGGGCAGGGGAGGGTCATAATAGGATGCTGTGCAGGCAGCTGACATCCTCATCAACTGATGTCATTGGTTGTCAGGACGCCAGCGGCTAGAAGGTTGTAATGGTGCACAATGAAAACCTTTGGCTTCGTGTAACTAAAAGGCAGGCTTGTTCCACCCACTGGCTCGTGTGCAATTTTTGGGCAATTTTTAGACATTTTGCCAAGGCACACCAGGATGCCTGGGCACTCTGGTTGAGAAAGGCTGATCTATGCCATGAAGAATTAAGGCAATTCTGAAGGCAAAAGGGGGGTCCAAGTCGGTACTAGCAAGGTGGACGTAATAAAGTGGCCAGTGAATGTAGGTGTTCCAGTTCATTGCAAAGGTGATCATTAGAGTTGAGGTCAAGGCTCTGAGCAAGCCCCTGGAGTTCCTTCACATCAAACTCATCAAACCATGCCTTCATGGAGCTGGCATTGTGTACAGTGAGTAGAATTCTAATGTTCACCACTAGAGGAATAACCAACAGGAGGAAGAACCCCCTGATTCCTCTATATTGATCTTCAGTTATCAAGAGAGTGATAACCAACAAGAAGAAGCAGGGCCTGATGCCTCAATATAGATATTTAGGTATCTATAGAAGGATCACGAGCAGGAGGTAAGAGGTCCTGATTCCCTTTTATAGATATCTAGTTAGACTTCATTTAGAACATCGAGTCCAGTTCTGGAGACCTCACTTTCAAAAAGATATGGTAGAGTCCAGACACAGGCAACAAAAATGGTGAAAGGTCTGAGGGATAAAAGAGAAACAAAAACATTTAGGAGACACTGCAGGAAGTTAATTTTTACACTCTTTAGGAAAGAAGGGAAAGGGGAGACTTGATGAAACCTTTAAATACATGAAGGGTGCGAAAAAGGTTTGGCAGGGCACTATTCTCAATAGGAAGCTAACATCAAGAACACGTGGAAGGACCTCACACTAGCAGGCGGAAAGTTCAAAATGAACCTTAACCTCTTGCCGCCCGCCTGCTGTTTATAAACGGCAGGGCGGTGGCACTGCAGGGGCGGGTTGCCGTTCATAAACGGCACCCGCCTTTTCTAGCTGTGCACGCTCCTTGGGAGAGCGCAGCACCGCAATCCAGTGCCCGCTGTGTCCTCCGGACACAGTGAAACACCGATCGTCGGATGGGACCTCTGTATGAGGTCCTGATCATGTGATCACTGATAGGCCAATCAGTGATCACATGCAAAGTAGCAAGCAAGATGTCACTTGTGACCTCATTGCTTACTACGTGTGAAATCTGTGAATGATCACAGAGGTCACATGGTACAAGGCTATCCACAACAGCCTTGTACCATGTGGCAAGGTGTGACCAATCACAGCTCACTCAGTATTTCTCAATGGCTGCAAGAATGCAGACAGAGAGAAAGAGAAATGATTGCTTTTACATCCTTTATGGGTGTAAAAGCAATCACTGTAAAAAAAAAAAAAATCATCACACCCACAAGTAGTACAGTGTCACCATGGTGACACTGTACTGCTAAGGTGACAGTATGTAAAAAAAACCCATAAAAAACCATAAATAATAATATAAAAAAAAAAATAAAAATGTAAAAAAAATGTTTAAAAATTATAACTTTTGGTTATAAACTAATTTGGCTTATTATTTTACTAAAAATATAACGGAATAAATTTTGGTCAAGATTTATGAAGAAAGATTATTTATTTGCAAAATTTTATAAGAAAAACACTTTTTTAAAAACATTTTTGGACATTTTCATTTACATAGCAAAAAAAAATAAAAATCCCAGTGGTGAATAAATACCACCAAAATAAAGCTTTATCTGTCTCAAAAAAATGCTAAAAAATTCATATGGGTACAGTGTTGCATGACCGCGCAATTGTCATTCAAAGTGTGATAGTGCTGAAAGCTGAAAATTGGCCTGGGCAGGAAGGGGGTGACAGTGTCCGGACTGGAAGTGGTTAAAACTGGTATTTTACAGAGAGTAGTTGATGCTTGGAATGGACTTTCAGAGGTATGTAGTGAGTCAGTGAACAGTAAGTGGTTTCAATATGTCTGAGACAAATACATCTATTTTCAGACGACAAAAGAGGTAAACGGGAAAAAGAAAAAAAGAGGATAAAAAAAAAGTTAAAAATAAAAAAAATATGATGCAGACTCAGACCACTTGGTCATTTTCTGACTTCACTTTTTTATGTTTCACAGACAGTCATAGTGAAACAGGATTTTCAAATTTCATGTTGGGCTTTTAATACTTTTTTTTACATCGTTTTTTTTTTTTTTTTTTTAAATCTTAGAAGAGGCGGTCCAGACCCACCTATTATTATCACCCATCCTTGTCTTTTAAAGTGGTTGTAAACCCTTCGATATACCCAGTGAAGTGATTGGCCTTAGGTGATACAGAGATGGAACAAATCCTCCCACATAAGTTGTACCTTTTTATCTGCCGTCTTCTCTAAATCTATTCAAAGTCCAGAAGTTACAAAGCTTGTCAGAGTGCAGAAAACAGTGGCTAGAGAACTGAAATTACACTTTGCAGAGTGAGAAGAGCTCTAAGGATTGAAGGGAGGAGCCCCCCCCCCTCCACACAGGGACAGAGCTGAGGCTGTCAATCTGCTGATGGTCCCTCCCCTGACACCTTTTTAGCTCTTGGTGTCAGGAAAGCTTGTCAGAAATGACCCATGCTGATAGCAGAGAAAAAAAAGTAGCAGAGATGAGACTTTTAATTGAGACAAGTACGTACCATGGAGGGATTTGCTTTCTTCAGATACCATGTCTGAAACTTACAACCACTTTAAAATGTCAGTTTCCTCTTGTCCTGGGGGACTTTCAAAGCTCTTGACCCCTCCTCCCTGTTTGCAGGTGTCTCCTTTTAGTTAGTGGGGTGATAAGGAGACGCCCTTGCAGGCACACGTCCAAAGACACAAACATCCATGCTCCTTCCTCTCAGTAATTCAACTGACTGCAGCAGTAGCCTGTCTTCTGTAGAACAAGGTAGTTCATGGAACAATGCTGATCGATCCCAATGGCAATGACAAGGACAGCAGATACGTGTGGCAATGAGAAGGGGGGAGGGGGACTGGGAGCACATGTCCTTGGGCTTTATTTTTTCACCTTAATGCTGGAAATGCTTTAAAGTGTTCCGAAACCCCGGACTCTGCATTCACTATATCTGGTCTCCCCGAACCCTGCATTCGCTATATCCGCTCTCCCCGGACCCTGCATTCACTATATCCGCTCTCCCCGGACCCTGCATTCACTATATCCGCTCTCCCCGGACCCTGCATTCACTATATCTGGTCTCCCAGGACTCTGCATTCACTATATCCGCTCTCCCCGGACCCTGCATTCACTATAACTGGTCTCCCCGGACCCTGCATTCACTATATCTGATCTCCCCGGACCCTGCATTCACTATATCTGGTCTCCGCGGACCCTGCATTCACTATATCCGGTCTCCCCGGACTCTGCATTCACTATATCCGCTCTCCCCAGACCCTGCATTCACTATATCTGGTCTCCCAGGACTCTGCATTCAATATATTTGGTCTCCCCGGACCATACATTCACTATATCTGGTCTCCCCGGACCCTGCATTCATTATATCCTCTCTCCCCGGACCCTGCATTCATTATATCCTCTCTCCCCGGACCCTGCATTCACTATATCCGCTCTCCCCGGACCCTGCATTCACTATATCCGCTCTCCCCGGACCCTGCATTCACTATATCCGCTCTCCCCGGACCCTGCATTCACTATATCTGGTCTCCCCGGACCCTGCATTCACTATATCTGATCTCCCCGGACCCTGCATTCACTATATCTGGTCTCCGCGGACCCTGCATTCACTATATCTGATCTCCCCGGACCCTGCATTCACTATATCCGGTCTCCCCGGACTCTGCATTCACTATATCCGCTCTCCCCAGACCCTGCATTCACTATATCTGGTCTCCCAGGACTCTGCATTCAATATATTTGGTCTCCCCGGACCATACATTCACTATATCTGGTCTCCCCGGACCCTGCATTCATTATATCCTCTCTCCCCGGACCCTGCATTCATTATATCCTCTCTCCCCGGACCCTGCATTCACTATATCCGCTCTCCCCGGACCCTGCATTCACTATATCTGGTCTCCCAGGACTCTGCATTCACTATATCCGCTCTCCCCGGACCCTGCATTCACTATATCTGGTCTCCCAGGACTCTGCATTCACTATATCCGCTCTCCCCGGACCCTGCATTCACTATATCTGGTCTCCCCGGACCCTGCATTCACTATATCTGATCTCCCCGGACCCTGCATTCACTATATCTGGTCTCCCGCGGACCCTGCATTCACTATATCTGATCTCCCCGGACCCTGCATTCACTATATCCGGTCTCCCCGGACTCTGCATTCACTATATCCGCTCTCCCCAGACCCTGCATTCACTATATCTGGTCTCCCAGGACTCTGCATTCAATATATTTGGTCTCCCCGGACCATACATTCACTATATCTGGTCTCCCCGGACCCTGCATTCATTATATCCTCTCTCCCCGGACCCTGCATTCATTATATCCTCTCTCCCCGGACCCTGCATTCACTATATCCGTCTCCCCGGACCCTGCATTCACTATATCCGGTCTCCCCGGACCCTGCATTCACTATATCCGGTCTCCCCGGACCCTGCATTCACTATATCCGGTCTCCCCGGACCCTGCATTCACTATATCCGGTCTCCCCGGACCCTGCATTCACTATATCCGGTCTCCCCGGACCCTGCATTCACTATATCCGGTCTCCCCGGACCCTGCATTCACTATATCTGGTCTCCTCGGACCCTGCATTCACTATATCTGGTCTCCCCGGACCCTGCATTCACTATATCTGATCTCCCCGGACCCTGCATTCACTATATCTGATCTCCCCGGACCCTGCATTCACTATATCTGATCTCCCCGGACCCTGCATTCCCTATATCCGCTCTCCCCGGACCCTGCATTCCCTATATCCGCTCTCCCAGGACCCTGCATTCCCTATATCTGGTCTCCCAGGACCCTGCATTCCCTATATCTGGTCTCCCCGGACCCTGCATTCACTATATCCACTTTCCTCGGACCTTGCATTCACTATATCTGGTCTCCCCGGACCCTGCATTCACTATATCCGGTCTCCCCGGACCCTGCATTCACTATATCCGGTCTCCCCGGACCCTGCATTCACTGTATCTGGTCTCCCGGACCCTGAATTCACTATAATCTCTCTCCGGACCCTGAATTCACTATAATCTCTCTCCGGACCCTGCATTCACTATATCCGCTCTTCCCTGACCCTGCATTCACTATATCCGCTCTTCCCTGACCCTGCATTCACTATATCCACTCTTCCCTGACCCTGCATTCACTATATCTGGTCTGCCACAGCACACAGAACATGGAAGTGTAATTATTTTAGTAAACTGCTAAATACCTTTTCTCATCAGCAGTTAGATCAGTCTTGTGACTTCTGTCAGTCTCCAGCAGAGCACATATTAACGCTTGTAGGAGGAGTTTTAATTTTGCTCTAGGAGGATGCAGAACCCCTGACCCTCTGCCTGGACAGCGCTGATTGGCCCTATGCTGATCACATGCACTCTCTGAAGAAAAAAAAAACCTCTAGTAATACACACCAAACTGAGCATGTGCAGAGTGACTCCACACGGTATGTCTTATCAGGAGATAAGGGGAGGATCAGAGAAGTCAGGATCAAACAGCCTTTTTACACAGTGCTGAGGATTAACCCCTTAGGTTCCACAGTGAGTATAAACAAGCATGCTTTACTGCATATACAGACTGATTTTACTGTTGTGGGTTTAGTAATACTTTAAGGTAAGACCGGTTAAGCCTTTAGTAGTACCATAACCGTATTCTTCAGAATGGGCAGCACAGTGGCTAAATGGTTAGCACTTCCGTCTGGCAGTACTAGGGTCATTGGTTCAAATCCCAACCACGGCACCACCTGCCTGGAGTTTGCATGTTCTCCCTGTGCCTGTGTGGGTTTCCTCCGGGTACTCCGATTTCCTTCCACACTCCAAAGACATGCTGGTAGGTGAATTGGCTCCTGTCTAAATTGTCCCTAGTATGTGTATGTATGAATGTGAGTTAGGGACCTTAGATTGTACACCCCTTGAGGGTTAGGGACTGATGTGAATGTACAATATATATGTAAAGTGCTGTGTAAATTGATGGCGCTATATAAGTACCTGAAATAAATAAATAAAATATACCTGATCTGTATCTGATAGGAAAAAGGCCAAAAAAATCCAGCTTTGCAGATCAATTTTCCAGCAGTTTTTTCTGAGTAGGAACAATTTTTCTTATGCTGGTCATACACATTGATTTTACATGTGATCAACCATTTACTCTGACAGCTGAATCAATCAAGTCATTGGAATTCAAGAATGATCATTCAATGAGACACAAACACATTTGGGAACATTTCCTGATGACTTTTAATGACCAGAGCTAGTTGGAAGATAGCTGCTTTTCTGCTGTTAATTGTTTTGTATTCAGTATTTTTCAGCTTTTAGTTTTAGGAAAGAGTGAGGAAGAGTTGAAATGAGGTTTCTATTGCTGCCTCCCCATGAAAAGATTTTCTCTTGCTTTGGTCTCTGACACCATGATAATGAAGGGGTGGAGTAGTAGTCAGCAGGACAGGAAGAGACATCCAGTATTAACCACCGCAGCCCCCGGCCAATTCTGACACTTCTCTCTGCTACAAGTAAAAAATCTGCATTTTTGCTAGAACGTTACTTAGAACCCCCAAATATTATATGATAAGAGGCATGGAGGAGCTCAGCTATGAGGAAAGATGAGAGGAACTGAATTTATTCTCTCTTGAGAAGAGGAGATATGATCACCATGTATAATACATAAGGGGGGATATGATCACCATGTATAATACATAAGGGGGGATATGATCTCCATGTATAATACATAAGGGGGATGTGATCTCCATGTATAATACATAAGGGGGATATGATCTCCATGTATAATACATAAGGGGGGATATGATCACCATGTATAATACATAAGGGGGATATGATCTCCACGTATAATACATAAGGGGGATATGATCTCCACGTATAATACATAAGGGGGATATGATCTCCATGTATAATACATAAGGGGGGATATGATCTCCATGTATAATACATAAGGGGGGATATGATCTCCATGTATAATACATAAGGGGGGATATGATCTCCATGTATAATACATAAGGGGGGATATGATCACCATGTATAATACATAAGGGGGATATGATCTCCATGTATAATACATAAGGGGGATATGATCTCCACGTATAATACATAAGGGGGAATATGATCTCCACGTATAATACATAAGGGGGGATATGATCTCCACGTATAATACATAAGGGGGGATATGATCTCCACGTATAATACATAAGGGGGGATATGATTTCCACGTATAATACATAAGGGGGGATATGATCTCCACGTATAATACATAAGGGGGGATATGAGCTCCACGTATAATACAAAAGGGGGGATATGAGCTCCACGTATAATACAAAAGGGGGGATATGAGCTCCACGTATAATACAAAAGGGGGGGATATGAGCTCCACGTATAATACAAAAGGGGGGATATGAGCTCCACGTATAATACAAAAGGGGGGATATGAGCTCCACGTATAATACAAAAGGGGGATATGAGCTCCACGTATAATACAAAAGGGGGGATATGAGCTCCACGTATAATACAAAAGGGGGGATATGAGCTCCACGTATAATACAAAAGGGGGGATATGAGCTCCACGTATAATACAAAAGGGGGGATATGAGCTCCACGTATAATACAAAAGGGGGGATATGAGCTCCACGTATAATACAAAAGGGGGGATATGAGCTCCACGTATAATACAAAAGGGGGGATATGAGCTCCACGTATAATACAAAAGGGGGGATATGAGCTCCACGTATAATACAAAAGGGGGGATATGAGCTCCACGTATAATACAAAAGGGGGGATATGAGCTCCACGTATAATACATGAGGGGGGATATGAGCTCCACGTATAATACATGAGGGGGGATAGGATCTCCACGTATAACACATGAGGGGGGATAGGATCTCCACGTATAACACATGAGGGGGGATAGGATCTCCACGTATAACACATGAGGGGGGATAGGATCTCCACGTATAACACATGAGGGGGGATAGGATCTCCACGTATAACACATGAGGGGGGATATGATCTCCACGTATAACACATGAGGGGGGATATGATCTCCACGTATAACACATGAGGGGGATATGATCTCCACGTATAACACATGAGGGGGGATATGATCTCCACGTATAACACATGAGGGGGGATATGATCTCCACGTATAACACATGAGGGGGGATATGATCTCCACGTATAACACATGAGGGGGGATATGATCTCCACGTATAACACATGAGGGGGGATATGATCTCCACGTATAACACATGAGGGGGGATATGATCTCCACGTATAACACATGAGGGGGGATATGATCTCCACGTATAACACATGAGGGGGGATATGATCTCCACGTATAACACATAAGGGGGATATGATCTCCACGTATAATACATAAGGGGGGATATGATCTCCACGTATAATACATAAGGGGGATATGATCTCCACGTATAATACATAAGGGGGGGATATGATCTCCACGTATAATACATAAGGGGGGGATATGATCTCCACGTATAATACATAAGGGGGGATATGATCTCCATGTATAATACATAAGGGGGGATATGATCTCCATGTATAATACATAAGGGGGGATATGATCACCACGTATAATACATAAGGGGGGATATGATCTCCATGTATAATATATAAGGGGGATATGATCTCCATGTATAATACATAAGGGGGGATATGATCTCCATGTATAAATACATCAGTGGTTCATATAGTGAACTCGGTGTAGAGTTATTCACCCTGAGGTCATCACAGAGGACAAGGGGGGCTCTTTACATCTGGAGGAAAAGAAATGTAATCTCCAAACATGGAAAGGTTTCTCCACAGTGAGAGTTGTGAAAATGTGGAATAGACTCCACCAAGAGTTGGTTCTGGTCAGCTCAGTGGATTGCTTTAAAAAGTCCTGGATTCTTTCCTAGATACACAGAATATGTCCTTAAAAGCATCAGACCAAACCAAGATCGGTTTGTTCGCATGCGTTCACAAGTCGGTGATGGCTTGTCTACATCTGAGCAAAAACAGAAGCGACAAAATGTTACTTCCAGATTTTTAGACCAGAGAGATGTTTGGGGATGTTTCAGTCCGTTTATCTCTATGGTAATCGGTGCTGCTTT